GCGCACATTATCAATGGGCCCACGGAGCAGATTGCTAACTATGCGAACTTTGAGCACTATGCGATGCAGTACCAACAGCAGCAACAGTTGCAGCAACAGCAGCAGCAGCAGCAACAACACCAGCATCAGCAGCAACAGTTGCAGCAATTGCAGCAGCAGCAGCAACAGCAATACAATGCCAGCTATCAGCTGCATAACGGTAAACACCTGCCACCTGCCGCTACTGCTGCTGCTGCCTATCAATATCAGCAGCAACAGTTGCAGCAACATCATCAACAGTTACATCACACGCATCGGCAGCACCATGCGGACCATCTAATGCGTCTCAATATCAACGCTCAGATCGCTGCGCAGTTGCGCGATAAGAAAATCAATGTCCTACTCATCGAGGGCTTCATGATCTTCAATCAGCCCGAGCTGCTGGCGCTTTGCAATCTCAAATATCACTTCCACTTGCCGTACGAAAAGTGTTATCAGCGTCGGATGCAGCGCACCTATGATCCGCCCGATGTGACGGGCTATTTCGAGCTGTGTGTTTGGCCGCACTATGAGAAGAACTTTGCCGAGTACCGCGACTGCAAGGACATCACGTTCCTCAACGGCGAGATCAGCAAGGAGAAGATCTTCAAGTTCGTGCTCCAGCGCATTGTGCACTATTTCGAGGAACGCTGCGATGTGCCCACCGCCTCGCCGATCGCCTGTCCGCCCCAGCAGAAGCGTTTCGGCATGCTCTACATGGCCTCGGCATCCAGCAATAATAATCATCTGCACACCGCTTGTCCCATGGAGCAGTAACCAGCAGGCACTGGGCTTAAGCAAATCGAAGAGGGTGGTCTTAAACGTTTCCAAAGTCGAGAGATAGATTGAACGATTTCACGTTAGCTGTCAAATAACCCTCGCATGTATAAAGCTAAATCATGTACATTTAAAGTCTATAGAATTCTATTTAGTTCTGTATTTAGTTGTTTTCCATTAGTTCTAAGCATATGGACACATTCTCTATAGAGTCTAAAACGGGTTTGTGAACAGAAAGTAAAAATGTTGAAAATAAAAGGTTCAGGAATATATATTTAGCTGTGCTAACTAATATATCTATAGATATAGTATATACTACTATATAGAAATCACATGAATGAAATTCAATATATTATATACATATTATATTATTTAGATCCTGAAATGAAAAGTTTAGCCTCAACTGTAAATATTATAATGTATCATATAACTGTATAAGATTATGGACCTCTTCAGAAACTAAAACTAAAGCTCTAGTAATTTTTTTTCTTGTGCGAAACAAAACACACCGAATTAAATATACGCTATATATTTACACCTGGAAAAGAAGGCAACGAAAACCTGATTTTGTTAAGATTTGTTTTATTTAATTAATTTTTATTTTTTGTATTGCATTCATTTTGCGCTCACATGGAGCTCTTTAATGTGTGGGGGGAACGGATTAACGGGTTGAGTGCATGCCTCGAAACACAAATATTGAAAAAATAAATACATTATATATATATATGGATATATATATCGTGTTAAGTAGCATGCACGATTATCATAAATATACAGTACTTTCTCGAAGGGTTTGATTAGCTCTGCATGCACGAATTTATTGCCAATGGGTTTGAATGAGTAGTTTAGTTGGTGCCGACTACGGCTTGGATTCGATTATATCAATTTGTCAACTATATATGCTTAGAAGTATGTTAATAACTTTATGCTTAAATATGCGGGTGACGCTGCAAGTCCCAAGTGGAAGCTGCAAGGAAACAAGCAAAAATCGCATTTAGTCTGAAGTCAAACATTTATTTATTGGAATCCTTAATCTAGGTCAACGCACCTTAAAGCGCATCCCAGTCGGTTTGACTATTGTATACTTCCTCCTCTAGCCAAACGGCATAGTTGGCCTTAAAGTAATCAGTTAGCTCCACCTTGCGATCCCACCAGCCGGAATGGCCAAAGAATGCAAAATCTGAATGCGTGAGTATCTCATCGCTGGGAAAGCCACCCTCGACGCCATAATCGTGCAGCTGCTGATTCTGTTGGCCGCTGCTATTGTTGCCAACTCCGCCCCCACCGCTGCTCCCATTGTTTCCATAGCCATTGGAGTCTCGATCCCCACTGCCATTGCCCGCGTGCATGTTCGACTGCTGTGCATTCTCGGCATTCTGTGCGGCCGTCCCGTTGTTGCCGCTGCCGACGCCGCCACCAGCGCCGCACTTTTGCGTCGCTTCCGGGTAACGACGCAAATTGAAGCGATCGACGCAAGCGCGAAGCGTGCACTCCTCCGCCTGAAAGTCCCAGGGTCGCGACTCGAGATCATTGCCAAAGGCCCAATCATCGTTGAGACGATGCCGCACCTTCGCATAGATGGCACTCAGAGTCTTCATGTTGGATTTGCGCCACTGGCGACCCAAGTACTTGGTCTGCATCTTCAATAGCTTCAGCACATACAGCTGCATCATCGCGTGTCGCACCTTGAGCGTCTTCTTCAATATGGGCGCCGACTTGAACACGACTAGCATCATAACACGCGAATGCTTCCACTTGATCAGCTTGTTGAGTATGCGCAGCAGATTGATGCAGGAGAAGACATTGCGCCACGAGTAGGGCTTGTCAGACATCTCGCCGCCATAAACGAAGCTATCGCCACTTAAGTCCGGCTGTTCGCCAATCACACACGACGGAAAGTCCAGCAATGGTATCGAATTCTTCGTGTTCACATACTCTGTAATGGTCTGGTTGAAGAATTTCAGCACCAACGGAATGCAATTGGCGAAAACCAAATGCTGTGACATGAACTCGAACTGGTAGACATGGTTAATCTTGAAATGCTTCAGATAGAGCAGTATTATAGCGGATACAGCCTTCACGATGATCTCCTTGTGGCGTCCCATGTCGACGGTCAACTTCGTTGACTGTGTAGCCGTCAGCGGCATCTTCTTCGGCAACACATCGGCCATAATGTTGATGCTCTCGGTCTTCGACTTGGATGTGGGCGAAGCGGCCAGCAAGACCTTTAATAGCGCAATCATATACTGTGGCAAATTTGGGAGTATCGCTTGGTAGAGTATCTCGGCTGGTGTCAGCTTGATTTCATCCTCGTGCGTTGAAATTGGATTGCGTGCGATGTCCTCCTCCTTCTTGATCTGCACATCGGCCAAACTCACGTACATGTGACGCTGCAGCGTCTTGAATCCCTCATGAATGGGCTGCGGCAGACCTGCTAGACTCTCGTGATCGCCAATCAAAGAGTAGCCAATGAACTTGTTGCGCGATATATCCAGGAATTGATCGATATCCTTCTGGCGCACCTTCGGTGTCCAGGGCAAACGCGGCGTTATCTGCACAGCCGGCACTGTGACTGGCGGTTGCATGTTACTTGGTTGATTGTTTGGATTAGCTGATGCAGTGCTATTGTTGCTGTTGCCCGAGGTGGAAGCGGAGGGATCGTCAAAAGGCCGATAGTACTGGGAGAGCTCGTCTTCGCCGTTGCCAGAGCCGCTTCCTGCACTTGAATTTCCATTGTTGGCATTCGTTCCACCCTCATTGCCAGACATCTCCATGTCGATTTGCTCTGGTTCGTCCAAAAAGCGCTGCTTCATCAGTGAGCGCCTATTTAGAAGACATTCATGAATCAATAATAGGTAAATATATATTAATATTAAGGTAAACCTACTTGAAGTTCCTTTTCGGATATTGATTCTCTAATATATCCGTTGCTGTTGCGGGCGGCGAACTGGCACGCATGCATTTGGTCACCTCCAATGTGTCCTCGGTGATCGGATCCAGCCCGACCTTCGCTCTGTACTCATTCTTGAGATTCTTCAGCACATCCATGCCTCCAAGTCCCAGAAGGGAAACCTTCCACAGCAGCAGAACAACCTTTTTCATGGGAAACTGTGGTGCAGCACCACTGCAAAAGCGCGTGATCATGCCCAGCAATTTGACGGCGAGCAGCTCACCATCGGGCAGTGGGCTGTTGATCTCCTGCACGAATGACTCGGCCAGCTGCTTGTAGTCCTCGCTGCCTTTCTCCCGCTCATCGCGTATTGTCTCCGTTATGATATACAATACTGAGAGTATGACTCGGATATCAGTGGAATCAACTAGTGTCACATTTGTTATCTTCACTGCCACAATATCTGGAGAACATGCCGTTTCGATCTCCATGTTGAGCAAATCAATAAACGAGGAGAACACGCCCAGCTGATAGAGTACGATGACATTGTCGCGAGTATTCTGATGCTGTTCCTCGTCGGATTGCACTTCGGCCCAACAGCCCTGAGCCAGATAGAGAATGCAGCGAGCCGCCTGCATGCGGAAGGAACGATCGGAGACTTCCAATTGATCCACTAGTTTCATCACAATGCTGCGTTGCGAGCTCGCGTCCTGTTTCTGCCAATTCGGTGGCAAATCATATAGTTCCATTTGGTCCTCAAATGCCTTAACATTCATTTGGAATTCACTGAACTCCGTGTAGCTGTAAAGTTCGGCGATCTCATTTTGATAGCTATCCACATCGGCGTAAACGAAATCTAGATCGGGGCCATCGCAATTGGCGTCCACGTCGTGAGTATCCTGCTCGAACGAGTTGTTTATAGATGAAAGCATCATTTAGAGGCTGGTTATTCGTTCTTCCGGACAATCTACAATCTGCGTGTGTGTGTGTATGTATGTGTGTATGTGAATGTGTCTGTATGTGTATTTGTATGTGTGATTAGAAATGTGTATCCTTGTTTGGCAGTACAACTGCAAGGGCGCGCCCTTTTATCACTACACTTTGCCAAAAGCGCGCATACTATTGTGCGTTAAGCACTGCATTTCTTCGTAAATGTTGCAAACATAATTCTTCAACAAACTATCCACAAAACTGAAGCACAAAAGAAGAAAATTTTTATAGTGTGACCAACTTGGAATTCCATTTTAAGACCAAGTAGACTAACATATCGATAAACATACTTCGATAGCAATATCGATATACTAAGTGTACGCCCGCTGCCTCCCCCAGCAGGTATATATTTGTGCATCCACACAGTGCCGGCAGCAGTTTAGATTTGATCCCCAAAACAAAACGATTACGAAAAAAGTAAGCGATATTATCTATTAATAATTGTTAATCAATTGTGAAGCGTAGCAAATTCCATTTGAGAAAAATTGTGTGGCGAAAGAGCACACAGCTGGTTCCATTTACTACCATTTGTACTTTGTACCCCTCGTGCATATCAGCGTGAGCTTGCAGATTCTTATTGGCAAACGTATAGTGCATAGCTGGGATATATCTCCATATACATTGATCAGTAATTGTTAAATTGTGCATCTATAATTTAAAGAAAATGGCTGGTCGTTCGCTGGTATCCCTTATGTTTGGTGCACTGGCTGCTGCCGTGGGCACCTACATCTACTTCACGAATCAAGTAATTACAACTTCAACTCCATGAACTACATATAAAAACAGTTTATCGCGTGGGGTACTAATGTTTTATCTAATCAGCGCATTTCTAACGATACTCTGCATCTCTCTACTGCAACTTATGAATGGATGAGTCATTCGTCATTTCGATTTCTGTGACCTTCAATATTTACCCACTGAGCTAGTTCTTAACAGTGTTGACAAATTATTTATTGCCATAATAATCTGGATTTATTTCAAGAACAAGCATTTATTTGCTATTAACCGCTTAACGATTTATTAAATTGATATGGCTTATCTATTCAAAGATAAGATCTATTGAATGAGCTTGCTAAAATACGAAAAATTTGTTATCATCGTTACTCATTCAATTTTGGCATATATTATTAAACATTGATCGGAATTTATTGCTACCTAAGTGAACTAGCTCATTTTTACTGAAATTCTCAGCACTGATACTAAATGCCTGTTCGTAATTGACTGATTGAGTTATAATAGATAATTGTGTATTATTCGTCATTATTTGCAGCCATCTCTCTCGCTTCCTATTAAATATGTATATCAGGCACATGCAAAGCGTTTCACGACAGGCATTCCGGTGCTTCCAATTATCTACAACAAGAACAACTAATCGTAATTTCGGTATAGCTGCAATATCAGTAAATAAATGTCCGCGTTATTGCGCTGTCCTTTTGCCATTGTTTGCGGTTGTCGGCAATGTTGAGTGCAGTGCGGATTTAGCAACGAAGTCACATTACTCCACAGCAGCTGCCGTGAGTAGCTAGTTAGTTGTTGTTTGTTGCACTAATAACTAGAGTAGATAAGTCAACTAATTTTGTCTGCGTCGTTTTATTGTTGCTTGCCGTTGGTCTTCAGCTAAATTCTGTTGCTTTGCCTACTATTCTGCTTTCTCTCGATCAATTATAAAACCCTTTCGAACTCTCTTCAAGGTCGACATGTCGGACGGTGATTACAAGAACGCAGCCTCGATCTACGAGTTCAACGTGAAGGACACCCATGGAAACGATGTCTCCCTGGAAAAGTATAAGGGCCAGGTTATCCTTATCGTCAATATTGCTTCAAAGTGTGGTTTAACTAAAAATAACTACAAGAAGTTGACCGATCTGAAGGAGAAGTATGGCGAACGCGGACTGACCATCCTGAACTTCCCATGCAATCAATTTGGCTCCCAAATGCCAGAGGCCGATGGGGAGGCCATGGTCTGTCATCTTCGTGACTCTAAAGCAGACATTGGCGAAGTCTTTGCCAAGGTATGTTCAAATATATATATAAATTGAAGTATGGTAATAAAGTTTCCCAAATTGCTTAAGATTGATGTGAATGGCGATAATGCAGCGCCTTTGTATAAGTACTTGAAGGCCAAGCAATCTGGCACCTTGGGCAGCGGCATCAAATGGAACTTCACCAAATTCCTGGTGAACAGGGAGGGCGTTCCAATCAATCGATATGCACCCACTACCGATCCCATGGACATTGCCAAGGATATCGAGAAACTATTGTAGATCTCCATAAAAATAAACACAGACACATAGTATATAAGAATTATAGTATCTAAATGTCTACATATAACTTATACTGTTCTTGGCTCTACCTTATAAACTAGTCCGACTACAAAGTGTAATTGATTAATGGTTCAACATTTTTGCTAATATGTTCTTAAATAAACAGAAACTATGAATTTGATTGTATGAATGAAATGTGTTTATCTATGTATATGTAAATAGTTACCTCCATGATGGCCATGCGCGCCTGTCTGTAGAGCTTGGCCAAGATGCCGACATTCATAATGACGCCTTCGCCCTCATTTTTCGGTTTCCGCACCAATTTATAGTGTATCCAGACCATGTCATATTCGTGATTCGTCATAAAATATATAGAAATATGTAACAGGGCATAGATATATAAGTATATATAGATAGATTTTTGTTTATGCGTTTGAGAAGTAGCTGAAATTTGAAATTTTGATTTACAAAATATAAATTTGTTTATATACACATATAGAATAGAGACTTTGATTTGCCTACTCCCACAAACATACAACATAATTAAGAAGGACCCCAGGATATTTAAATTTGACTAGGGAGTTCATAGTAATTTCCCATTTGGCTATTATCCCGTTAGCTGAGCAATAGCGGCTATCGGGAGTTATAGCTATGTATATATGAAATGTTTACCTTTATCCTTGGGTACACTTCTGCGAAAATCCCAAAAAATATCCTTTCTAATCGATAGATGCACGCAATCGATGTACTACATCATCTCTAGGTATTCTCTTTACATTAAATTTTACTTAAAATGGTTGGTAACTAATAACTGTAAACATGTAAATATACTCATAATTTTTGTTGTTTTTTTTTTTTTTTTTTTTTTTGGTTTTTGTTTATTTATTTAAATAATTATGTATTTGTTTTGGGTGCAATTAATCGTTAAATTAATTAGTATTATTGTTTATATAAGTTTCATACACATTTATACGCACATGTATAATATATATATTTGCTATTTATATATATATATATTATATATGTTGTTTTTGCTGCTTTTGCCTGTTTAAAACCATTTAACCATCGTCTGATCTAATACGTCTACTGAGTGCTCGTTTTTTTGTTTTTTTTTTTGTCTTTTGTTTAATTCAACTCGTAATTGTTTTTCTTTTCTTTTATTTGTTTTGTTAACATATACACACACAATTGTTATAGTTTGTTGTTCTTTTACATATAATATTTTAAGTAAATTATATCAAACTAATGCGAAACGCTTTTCTATTAATTATTTATTTATTTATAATAGTTAATAGTTATGTTTTTTTTTTCTTTTGGTTTTGTTTTAGTTGTTGAAATGTTTTATATGCATATGAGTTGTGAAAAGTGTGTGTCTGTGTGTTTGTTTCTTTGTGTGTGTTTTGTATTTCTTGTTGTTTTCTATTGAACAGAACTTTTAAAATATTATTAAGCAATTGGCGATATATTTTGTACACGCTACGAATATTGCTAAAAAATACCTGCACATTGTTCTTTTTTCTTTACTTCTTGCATTTTTTAAATATTTTTTGCTTTGTTCAATATATGTATATATATTTTTTGTTTGTTTGTTTGTTTCTTGTTGGCAAAGCACTTTGGGCAGGCGCTTGTTTAATTGTTAAATACTTGATTGTTTAAATATGTTAATGTTGTTGTTTGTTTAAACAATTCTATACTCTTTCACGTAGAATTTTTGAGTGAAAATTTTTTTGTTTGCCTATATAATCGTACATAGTTAAATAGTTTATGCAGCTAAGTAATTCCCTTTTCTTTCTCTTTTTTTTTTTTTAAATAAATAGTCAAATATAATTTTATTCATAACATATTTATATATACGATATACAATATATTTATAGCCGTCTTTAACTTTGACCAAATTAATCAAACATTTTTAACAAATTGTGTGAGAAGCTCTTAATTTAATCGTTGAACTGTTTTGGTTTTTTCCATATTTTCTTTTTTTAATTGTGAACAATTTCTTTTTCAATCAAACAAAAACTTTGCAAATTATTTTTATTGTATATTTTTGCTAAATGTTTTTCTTGTTTTATGTATATATATATATTTTTTATTTCGACTACATTTGCTTTTGAAATATGTTTTTGCACATTAATTTATTTAATTACTTTTTTTTATAGATAAGTAGATTGTTGTTCTCTTTTTTTCTATATTAATGCAATTATATATATATATTTTTTATTTTTGGATTATACATGTCAATAATTTCCTTTTTTGGTAACTTTTATTTAGGAACAAAAGCTTAGAGTTTTCTAGATTTTTGTCATGTAGAAACTGAGTTTAAAGTTTTGCGAATGCGAAAATGTTGGGAAGCAACCTGAACCTTGAATAGAATATATATATATACATCATACATATATATATATATAGCTTTTTATTTGTCTATATATATTTTTATTTTTGTTAAGTATATGCATGAAATAATGTAACCATAAACAAATTAGCAACAACTTTTAATTTGTCCGGAGCGTCTTCTTAGGATTGTTTTTATTATATTATAATTATGTTTTGTTTATACTGAGTCATAATTCCCTTAAAGTGTTTGCAATTCTCAAGTTAATTTTCTTTTTATTTTTATTTCATTTTATATATTTGAAGAAATTCAAAGGTTTTATTTGGCTTTACAAGTAAATGCCATCCATAATTACTTATACGCCCGCATGGGAACCTGCTCCAGCCCCGGCGTCAGCTGCAGCGCCTGTTCCGGTCCCATCATCAACCAGCGCCGATTGTCCGCCGGCAGGTGGCTGCTGTTGTTGCGGTGGTGGTGGTGGCATATACTGCGGATACTGTGGATACTGCGGCGGCTGCTCACCGCCTATGAGGCCCAGCTTATCTGTGAGTTGTTTGGAGAGAGAGAGAGAGAGAAAAAGCGAGGTTAACAGCATATTAGGTAAATGTGTCCTTAATGATTTGCTCAATTGAATGACAATTACATTGATACGATTACAAGTACGTATACGCCATATATAATACACTTCAATTGATCTCTAGAAGGGGCTGGGGACATTATTAAAAAGCTTTGCTATGTTATTTGAAAGCATAATAATGAATTTGTTAGGTCCACATCCGATAAAGCTAAGATTAACTTTATAAAACGTGCCCTCGAATATATACAATAAATATTTAATTATTTAGCGTAGAATATTTCATGTTGCCCAACCAACTCGTATACAAATTTGATTTCAGTAAATCTGATTTCAGTGACATTCAGTCCCCCGTTCAAACTGTTGGTGCATTAAAATTTAAATAAACAATCCATATACATGTATGTATATATATGGAAAATAAAAACAGAACACATTAATTATATTCTTTTGGGAACAACATCAATAAGAGTCAACAGATCATGAAGCACACTCTCAAATGTTTGAAATGATAACGGAATTTGCGCACAATAACGGTAATTCACACACATGCAGATAAAATGATAATCGATATTTTTGGTTGTTTTTGCTGTTGCTTACAGTGTTCGATAGTTTTGTTTTTGCGAATGGTTTGAATTGAATGTGTAATGTTTTCTTTTTTGGTCTGGTTCAATTGCAGTTGTTTTTCAAATTTCTTTGATGTTATTTTGTTGATGTAGTGCTGTTGGTTTTTGGTTTTTTGGTTGTACTTGTTGCTATTCATATTATTTTGTTGTTTATGAGCGTATTTATTGTCCAGTCGCCACGTCATCCGTCGGACTCGGTGGGTCATCGGTCAATTTCTCAGCCAATGGAGTTTTCTCAAGTGTCGTTGGTGGTGGTTCGGATTTAAGTGTGTGGTGTGGTTGTTGTGGTGGTAGTTGTGCTGATTCTGATGCTGTTGCTGGTGCGGATGCATGAACCTGCTGCAAAGCAGGAGATGGCGAAACAGCAGCATCATCCGACATGAAAGGTTCTACGAAAAATTTGTGGAATTGCATTTTTGATACAAGCCATTAATTTCAATCGAACCAATGTTTTTTAAATTACTTCTTATGTGGGTGATTGTGTACTTACTAATTGTAAAAAAAATAAATAAATAAATAAATAGCTTTTAAGTGATTTGTGCACCTAGCAATAATATTTGCAACTGAAATATTTTGCTTTTTCTGATTTATTTTTTTACCTTAAATCATAATAGTTTAAAGAATTTGTTCATTTGAATAGTTCGTATTGGTAAACATAACATAAAGCTAAAAGCTTGCACAAATTTTTTGCTTTTAATTTTATTTCTCTTCGTCTTTCTCTGTAATTGTGTGATAAAAAAGTTTGGTGAGTGTACACAGTAAATGTGGGCGTGGCCGTTGGTGTTGGCTTGGGCGTGGGCGTGGAAGTGGACATGGACATTGGGTGTGGAATTGTAGTGTATAGAAAAATAATCAAATAGTTGGAAAAAAACGTAACAAAAGAAATTAGATAAGAATGCTTTTTATTTTTTTGCAGTACTTTATGCATTTGCTGCTGACCTTGGTCAAATACTCTATATAGATATATGTATATATATAATTATGAGGGGCGTGGCGTGACGAGATCGAGTATGTTACAAAGGGACATAGTTACTATCTAGTATGTCAATAAAAACAAAAAGAAACGAAAACAAAAACAAAACACTAATTTTACTATATTACGGACTACGCTATCCATATTCCAATTACAATGAACCAGCACTAGATCCTACAAATTACGGGGTACAAATGAATATCGTAAAGGTCATACTCGAAATATACTTGGCTTTAGCGGACACAGGGTGTTCATGGTGCTCAACCCAAACATATAGAGCAACACATACAAAACACAAAGATACCATAATTACACTAAAAAAGACAAAACACGGCCTTAAATCAAATTACCGAACCTGGTGCGTATTATATATCGTATGGAACCAGATGATGCTGAACATTTTTTAAGTTTTTGATTTTTTTGTGGTTGTTGGAGCGCATGATATGCTAAGTACAATTGGATGCAATGGCTCGATGAATCGTTCGATTTCTTATTTTTTGTTATCGATTTCGATAAGGCGTCAATTCAAATTTATATTCAATTTCAGTTTTGAAGCGAACGATCATCAAACGTACGACACTTGAACTGTGAGTTTTGCTCTCTACTCTTTAGCAGTTGATTAAATGAGTTTTGAATTTGATATATAGTCGGGTTGATTTTGTTTAAGCATTTGTTTGTAACTAAGTTACATAGCAATTTTTTCTTATAGTTAGTTTTTAGCAATCTACATAAAGTTACCTAGAGAAAAAAAGTGTGTCGGAATAAAAAACAAACGAAACAAATCAATTTAGTTTTGCATAGTTTTCAAAATTATAGAAAATCAAATTAGAGCTAAAAGAGGTTTGAATTATTATAAATGATAGTAAAATAATATTAACATTTTTGGGTTTTGATTGGAGGGGATGTTAAATTATGTGTACTTGATCTGTGTGTGTGTATATATGGGGTTGTATTCCTGGTGGGGTTATCGTATATGATGTGAACACGATTAAACAATTTCCGCACGATTAACTTACTTGCTATAATGCCAACGATAACCAGTCCAATAACGCCCATTATGATCATCATCTGCAAAATTAATGAATGTGAATTCATATAAGTTTATCAACTGCCATTCCCAACTCACCTTCAAGTTTTGCAACCAGAACTTTCGTTTTAGCTTGCCAGCCTGCTGCTCGAATTGCGAGGCGCCCTGCTGCAAGGCATCGGCACGATCATCTAGCTCCGAGAGCTTGGCATCACGCTCCAGCACCTTTTCCACATTCGTGCGCATAATATCTACAACCTGAGTGAAAGAGAAGCAGCAAGTTAATCAAGTGGAACATAAGTACATACACATATCTATATTTGAAGGGAGAGGGAGGGAGTGAGGAATGCTTACCTCATCAACTTGAGCCTGCGTCTGTTGCAAGCGCTTCTGTGCCGCAATTTGTTGGGGATTGCGTGGTCCGCCCACAATCTCACCATCTCCGCCCTCGCCCGCCGGTGGGCCATCAACGGGTGGTGCATCGCCAGCTGCTGCAGCATCCGCCCTACAGATAGATGAGCCACATCATTAGTCATCCAATAATGGCGACTCTAATCAACTCCCCGCGGAGCACTCAAAATGATTTAAGTACTGGTCTAGCTAGGGTTATTGAGTTACACATGATGTGGTAGCAACATTTACAGAAAATACATCTTAATATGCGTGTGTAGGTATGTTAGAGGAGGGGCAAGTGCGCAAGTTCTAGACGAACTACTCCATAGAGCTGGGCACTTACGGTTCCTTATTCTTGTCTTTCTTGCCCATGATTTAGTGTGCGGCTTATAGTGTAATTAAAATCAAAAGTAAACTTCAATAAAAATAACCTTTTAAATCAATTTTACATATAACATATATGTATGTATATTAGGCATTTAATATGCCCATTAGCATTTTTGCATGACTAACTCATGAGGCACGACAGCTTGTGTTTAAGTTTATCGATTTTGCGGTGCGGTGCGGGAAAGTTGCCATGTGATGCGATGGTATCGGCGGACAGGGGCACGTCCACCAGCGTTGGCCGACGCAAAAGAAAAAGGAAAAATAATGTTGGTCAGAGGTGGCAACGTACACAATAGATCCACAAATATATCGCACTAAGAATTGCAAATTGAACAAATACATTGTTGAGCCACTATTTACATATATGATACGTATTTGCGTGGTCATGCGGCGTATACTTTATTTTGTGTGTGTATACAGTGAAAGCTCTTGCGAGCGAACACCTACATACATACGAGTCCTACAGGCAAACAAAATTAACTTAAGACAGGTCCCTTATGAATTTTACAATTTAAATTGTTATTGTTGCATTCCTCGTATGCTATCGATTAACAATTAGCATGTTTCCTAGCCATTCGAGTTGGAAAATATCGTGAAATTTCATAGATTTGTATTTCTTAATTTCGAATTTCTTTGTGCGAGGGTAAGACAGCGTAGAATCTTTTGTCCAAATAAAAATTTAGCTAACGTAAGCACCGGTTCGCGGAGATGTCCGCCTCAAGGGCGCTGTTGATTAAAAGACTTCTCACTGTAAAGCCTTTTGTTTGCGCGCAACGATTAGAGAGAAAGAGAAATCAATAATTTCCATTTACTTACATTGCTTTTTGTTTGGGTTTGTTGTTGTTGCTGTTTTAACAGCCGCTGCTGTTATTGTTGTTGTATTAACAAATTTGAACTTTGCCCAAAGTCTTGGACTCGAATTGCGATGACGGCTGACTGTGTCCGTTGTCCGTGTCCCGTGGACTTTTATGCACTTGGCCAAAATGTCTTTCGTTGGGGGTTGCTGCCGGATGCCGGAGGGGAGGTCGCTGAGTGCAGCTCAACTCTGGCTATTCGTTGTTTTTGTTATCGCTGGCAATGCTCTCTCGCTCTCCTCGCTCTCTCTCTCTTTCCTTGCTGACCGTTAAATTCTCTTTCTCTCTCGCTCGCTCGCCTCGCGCTCTTTGTGAGCTTTTCCTCAATGAAAACGCTCAGCCCCAACACACAGGCACCAAACGGGGAAATAACTGGCAGGCAGATGCGTGTGTGTGAGTGAGTGAGAGAGTGTGTGTGTATGTGCGGGTACCACTTGCCACGACAACCTTTTGCAAGCAGCGCTGTGTGTGAAGGAATCCTCTGGCCCTTGTTGTTCAAACTGTAGGATGAATAAAGTATAAAAATAGTTGCATACTATTTTTAGTATTTGTTAGCTTATTCGTTCTGTTTATTCTATTGAATTGTCGGCCTGAAATGTCTTTTGCTTATTTAACGCCCACACAAACACATGCACTCATATTCACATACACCCGCACTCACACACTCACATATAGAACTTGGGTGTATTCAATAGTTTCTCAATTTCACATATAGTTTGCTAAAACTATTTATTGCATACTCCCAGGGGCACTTCAAACACTTTTAGGGCCTTTCAAAATTGATTTGTGAACTTTTCTGATTTCATTTACTTTTGGCTCTAAATTTGCTTAGCTTGACAAAAAATCAATGAAATTTTACACAACACCATTTTTTTGCTAACCCAAATCAAGAGCTTCAATCGAACAGTTTATATATATAGAATATTCTGTTGTTAAACTTAGTAGTGGGATTAACCCAAATTTAGTTGGTATAATATATAATGTAATAATAAATTAAATACATTTGCGTAGCACAAAGAAAATTTTCACTTACGACGTTTTTAGCCAACTGCGAAAACTGGCAGCTTTTCTAACTGTTATGTGTATTTGGGAAAAAGCTCGCACAACATTTAAGGACGAGTACAAAAGCTCAATGAATCAGAACTAACGAGTAACTTTTTCTTATAGTCCTAACTATATCAACTAACGAGTGGCATTGATTTCTACGACTTTAAGAGAGGCTTCCGGAACTTCGTCTGTATCCAAACACGATACATCTTCAGACAACGTCCTCGGTTGACCTGTAACCGTCTGTCCACTATAAGCTGCTCCTCCACTAGTCCAGCCTTGGTTTGCATGCTGCGCAGTTCCTGTTCCGTAAAAAAATAGACCATAGTGCCATCGCCACGCACATAGAAATTATCCTCCAGGCATTTGCCGCTCTTGAAGCGCAATTGCGCCAAATCGTAGCGTCCGTAGTCCCGAAACATTAACAGACCGCCTGGCTTAAGGTAGCGATAGCAATTATCTAACACACCCTGCATTTTCGATGGCTCTATGGCGGAGAGTACAAAGATCATGACAATAATGTCCTGTGAATTTTCCTCGAATGGAACATTCCATTCTTCCTGCGTGGCATCCATGACAAAAACCTCGCATCGCTTGTCATCGAATTGCGGTTGACTACGGAGTATCTCGATGGCGCGTGCCGAAAAGTCACATCCATATACCCTCAACTGGGTTTCGGTACTGTATTGGAGTATGGGCAAAATGGTATTGCCCACGCCACAACCCAATTCAAAGATGCTGCGTGGTTCTGAGCGCTCGTTGTTCGAAATGGGCGCCAGTTCGGGAAATTCCGTGAAGAGCCAATGGCGATCTTTGAAGAAGCGATTATCGTGTATGCCATAAAACGAGTCCCAAAACTTCGGCGCATCCGATTGAAAACGTTCTCGCTGATCATCGCTCATCTTAATAGTTGAATTCTTTGCAACAGCTGCTTGGGCAGCTTCCTCCTGCTCTGTATCCCATTCCACGTGGTCCCTGTAGAATACATTTTAGGCGTTTATGTGTGGAAGTTATCTGTATTCTGTATATACCATGCATTAAACTCGAACACCTCCCGCGCATCGCTGAGTATGCGATTACCAGCTCCGCCCGGTTTCTTGCGCTTGCGGGTGTGTTCCCAAGTTTTGCTGGCAAAGCAACGTTGCAGATATTTACCAGGCGTTGTGCTTATATACATCGGCGTCATCCTTGAGCAAACGTGTGCCAAACTGTGGACGCTTTTCATTGTCAGCAGCATTTTCTATGGGTTCCGTTGACTCGCTGCTCATATTCTCCTTCCTGCGAGGATAATTCCGAAACTAACTTTGTAAACAAACAACCGCGGTGCAGACGACCATATGACGGTAAGTGTAGCCAGACTTTTATAATATTTTGGTAATATGGCAACATTAGGTTAAGCGAGCGCATCAAATTAGGGTGCGTGCGTGTGTATTAATCGACTAGCCTCCACAACCTATCGGTTAGTATAACAAAACCGCAAAATAATTTCTGTTGTATGCGTTGTGTTGCTGACCGCAGCAAATCGAAACAATTTATAAATACTCAAGCCAAAACATCTGATTAACAAACAAATACTCTTTATCTAAAAGTAGCTTGTGCAAGAAAACATTTCAAAATGATGAATGAGGCTGCTGCACTGGCCAATATGATACCCTACGACACAATTGGACTCTACGAACAGCCCAAGCCCCGTTTCATCTTCAAGATGCCACGGGTGGTGCCCGACCAGAAGTCTAAGTTTGAAAGTGATGAACTCTTTCGGCGTCTGAGTCGCGAGAGCGAAATCCGTTATACGGGCTATCGGGAGCGCAGTATTGAGGAGCGTCAGGTGCGCTTCATGAACGGCTGCCGTGAGGGACACACCGAGACGAGTTTTGTGGCATCTGGCACCAATTTGCAGCTGGTGTTCAATGCCAATCAGAATCCATACTTGCACGACAAGGAGTGCGACTTTGACAAGGAACACGGCAAGGTGCACATCAAATCCTATTTCATAATGAACGGTGTCTGTGTACGCTTCCGCGGCTGGCTGGATCTGGAGCGTCTAGATGGTGTTGGCTGCCTCGAGTTTGACGAACGACGTGCAATGCACGAGGATGCGATATTGCGTGACCAAATTGATCGCTACAATCAACGGCTGCGTGAATTCGAAGATACTAAGCGCGCTTACCGCGACAATCGCCAGGATGAGATGGAGGCAGTACGTCGGGGCGTTGCATCCGGTGGCATTGGAGTGGGCGCCAGTATGTGGCGGCGTTAGTTGGACTTTTGGACGGCAACAACGCCGTCACAGCAGCAGCAGCTGCAGCAGCAATCACAGCAGTTGCAGCAGCAGCAGCAACAGCAGCATGAGACTCAATACCCAAATACTCAATACTTTATGGAAAACTGAACAGATGAACAAATGCTCTAATCCAAACTTGCCACCAAATGCGAGATTTGTATACGAATACGGATACAGACACGGATACGGATTCGCTTATGTTTAGATTCGCTCGAATAAAATGCTCGTAGACTTAGTTTTAGCTTTTAGTAAATTACTTAACGTATTCTTGTATGGTATTAAACATAACATTTTAATGTACAATTTTAGTGACGTATGCTAACTATATATATACTAATATACACATACATATATATACATATATTTAAAATACATAATAAAACGTACACATTATAATTCCGGAAATTTAAAGATGACGCGTTGATTCGTCATTTATTTATTAATAATTAATGAAAATAATTTAATCAAATTTACATTTTTAATGGCTGTAGGGTATACCTTATATGTTATGGAGTTTAGCGTGGAATATTCCAGTTATGATATATAGCATCATTTTATATAAAAGATTTTACCTGACCTGATTCGGCTTCAATTTTGTTTGATCTAGCTCGGGTGGCACTTTTTCTTCTGTATACAGAAGTTTCGAGAAGCTGAAGTCCTTGAGTGGGATAAAAATCGCGGTAAGTGACCTTCGCGCAGCTTGCGATTCGAAGTTCGAACCTTCTCAAGGCCATGCTCAAAGCATCATCTAGTGAATGTGAATTGATTCTGAATTTCTGTATATTTTCATTTATATAATATATATTTGCAGTATCATTTATATATTTTTGATTAATGTATATTTTATAAACATGTTTAACACTAGAAATACAAATAAAGTTGCTTGGAAAAGCCCGACATTCAAAGGGTTCTAATTATTGTTTTTCGTTTCCCTTTTCCGTTTAACGGAATTGCAGTGTGGAAATGCGCAGACCGATGCAATCCTTGCCAATTTGACTGACCTCGCAGACGGTGCAGAGATTGCCCTTGTACTGGGGATCGTAGGAGCTGCCACAGAAGGGACAGGTCACCTCGGGCTTGCCACGATAGAGCGGCTTCCAGCTGATGGCGCAGATGTTGAACGGGTTGAACTCCTCATACTCCAGCTGATGCTCATCGACGGGATTCACCTCGCAGGCCTGCAATATTTTGCGCACCTGCTGCGCCACCTCCGGCCGCGGGGCAAGCTCCAGCAGACGACGCGCAAACGATGCGGCTGTCTTATAGTTCTTCAGCTTAAAGAACATATTAAGTGCGGTACGCAGAGTGAGAATCTGATGGACAGGCTGAAGCTTGCTGTGGGTGAAGTAGGCGGCCATTTCACAAAGACGCTTCTGCTCCTCCAGCGTGGACTTGGGCATGCCCTTGCGCACCGTTTCCATCTTCAGGCCGACAATGTATTCGGCACAGATCTTCAGCAGCTGCTGCGCCTCGGCTGTGTCCAGTTTCGTCTCCACCACCAGCAGCGGAATACTTATCAGTATGGAGTGGAACTTCTCAATGGCCTCGGTGAACTTGCCCGCCGTGGTCAACTGGTAGCCAGACTGCAGCCGGGACACCAGGTCATTCAGCTTGATGCCTAGCGCTGGACGCTGGAGCTTCGGATTGGTTTCTGAGTAATTACGCAGTGGATATCCATTTAACGACTGCAGATTGGGGTTGGCGGTGTAGCTAGTGCGGGAGCAGGCGTAGTTCTGCAAGAAGAGCGTTTTGAAAGGCTTGAAATTGACCACGCCCAGCTGATCGTTGAGCAGGCGGAAGGCACTGTTGAAGGCGCCTGCCTTAACATGGTCGAGCACCAGCTGGGAATTGTTGGCCCAGTGCTGGGCTGGCGATTGGCCCTTGTTGGGCGCCGCATAGTAGTTGCTGTCCAAGGCCGAGGCCTTGATCTTGGAGGCCAGCTCAATGGGCACCACCAGATCATCATCGCCGACATCCCAGCCACCGCCGCCAGCAGCCTCATCCTGTGCCTCATCATTGCTAAGTGCATCATGCATCTCCTCATCGCCATCATCATCTTCGCCCAAGCCCAAATCGGCATCAGCGCCCCAGCCATCTCCGCCAGCATTGTGCTCGTCCAGTGCGGCATCCGCGTTAATGTTGAGTGCCTGACGTGCTGTCGCGCTGCTGCTGGCACGCGTCACCATGGCGCCTTCGAAGAAGCCCTTCGACACTGACAATAGTGGCCAATTGGTCTCCAGTTGCTGTATGGGCACTGGAGGCTGCAGCAGCTGCGCATTCGGATTCACCTCCGGCAAGTTGCTGCCCTCTGCACTGATGGTGTTGCCCAGTGATTCTGTCAGCTCATCCAAGCCATGAGTGGCTGCGGTTAAGTAGGCCAGCGATAGTTGTCCACAGTTCTTGAGAATGTTCACGCGTTCCCTGACATCGCCCAGGAGCAAGGCACCTTGGTACTGAGCCGAAACATCTTTGCGTATTTCAGCAATCTTGTTCATTCTCTTCAGTTTGTCCAGATTACCAGTGATTAGGTAGAGGAAGCTTAGCTTGTCGAAGTTCTTGGTGCGTTGATAGCACATCTCGACCACCTGATGATTGCCTTGTAGCAAAGCTGCCTGGCCCAATCTATCCCAGCAATCCTTGTCATCCAATGCCTTGGCCGCCTGCAAAGCGATCTCAATGTTCCCGCACTCCAGAGCCAAGCCGAAGCGCGTCTTCTCATCCTTGACAAAGTGCAGGGCCACCTCTGGATAGCCCTTCTGCTGCAGATACGCAATGATGCTCTGTCCAACCAGACGAGCGTTGCGCACCATATGCAAAACCTCATCATATTTGCGCTGAATTAGAGCCAACTTGAATTTGTATTCCGTGGGATCGATGTGCAGGACACGGGTGCGACACTCGCGGTCCAAGCAGAACACCTGGTTGCCCTTGACGCGCGTCAGATAGATGGGCAGATCCAGAGTGCGTATGATGCCGTGATCTCCATTTGTGATGGCATATTTGATATGATTGCTGGTCGTATATATGAACACACCCGACTCATCCCAGGCGCCCGACTTGACGCGACAGTTCTCCTGCACGGTGCACAAGTACTGCAGCCGGCGATCGCAAATGGTTACCGAATGCTTGCAGAGCAGGGCGACCAGCGACATATCCGGTGACCACACCACATAGCGGCACTTGGCCAGCTTAATGCTGCCGACGGAGACCAAACGCTGCACCTCGTACAGTGTAACATATTCCGGATCGCGTATGAGCAGCATGCCTGTGCCGGCATAGAAAATCTCCTCGCAGAACGTTGGTATCTTCTTGGTCACTTCGTTCTTGAAGTTCTTCACCACCAGCTGCTGATTGCGATCGAGCACAGCGAAACGATTGCGTGCCACCCAGATGGCTGTGATGCCCGAGCTGCGCTTGCTGTCCGACTCGTTTTGACGATCGTTCTCGCTGTCCTTGGGTATCTGACACAAATCGTAGGTGCTGTTCTCCAGATTGTTGGTGCGCGTGCAAATAAGGACAGCATTCAATGCCGGATTATAGGACATGCTGTAGACAGGCGACTTGCCGGGACGCAACTGCATCACAACCGTATCCTTGGCGGTGGTGAAATCCAACTTGCGCAGAAAGCGATCTTTCACATAATACAACATGTTTCCGTGTACCGCGTAGGCAGGACGCTCGCGCTCCAACTTGAAGACCACCATGCCTGCGAAAAAACAAAAATTTTAGACCTAATTTTCAATTTACCTAAAGGTTGCAACTCACCTGCATCGTGGCCGGCAGCAAAAAGATTTAGTGAGGGATGTGCTGCCATAATCCAGAAGCGTTCGTTATCACGCCGGAATGTGAACAGGCACTGGCGCTTGGTCATGTCCCAAACGCGAATACTGCGATCCTCGCCGTTCGAGATGATCAGATCTTGGCGTGGATGGAACAACACGCAGGACACATTGTTATAGTGACCTCGGCATGTATCCACCTCCCAGGCCTTGTACTCATTCATGCGCCATAGCTTCACGAGGCGATCATCGGCACCTGATACGATCAACGGAAGGGTTGGGTGGAAGCTCGCCCAGTTGACACCGCGATCGTGGCCCTCCAGCACATGCTTGACCACCGCATCGGCCTGACCAAACAGATCGGTGGCACCGGGATGACCCTTAAGGTGCTCATCAAGTCCGCCAGGACCAGGTGCCACATTCTTTTTACGCAGTCCAGATATGTCCCAAACGCGCACCGTCTGATCCAGCGAGGCGGAAACAATTTGATCCTCAGTCGGATGGAACTGGGCACACATCACATAATGATTATGGCCAGTCAACACACAGATGCAGTTGCGCGACTGCCAATTCCAGATGCGAATGGTCTGATCATCGGAGGCACTCAAGATCCATGGATATTCGTGATGGAATGCGACTGTGCGCACATAATCCAAATGGGCCAGCAGAGTGAATATGCAGCGACGCTGCTTATAATTCCACACTTTAATCTTGTAATCGTCTCCGCCTGAGACAAACAGCGGCATCTGTTGATGGAAGGCCACACTGCGAACGGGGCCATCGTGCTCATCGAACTTCTCCAGCAGCGTATGCATGCGGTAGTCCCATAGCTGAATGACACCACTGTGCAAACTGGTCAGGATCCACGGACGTTTCGGGTGAAACGAAAGACCCTTCACACGAGCCGATTTGGACTCGAAATTGGTCAGCATTGTTGCAGTTTCCTTCACTGTTGCTGGTGCTGCCGTGGCGATGTGTTAACTTGTAGTCGGCTTTTCTTTGACGTACACTTACGCAGTCTGTGCCAGGCACTTTCTTGTCTAGAATTACACAACAGCAATTGTTAGCATTTATAGTGGATTATGTGATCATAAATAAACATATACAATTAATTTATTTCATGGTTTTATGTAAAAACACACACCAATTTTACAAAATTTTCAAGTGACACGTCAATTATCTTCTTCTATGCAGCAGCAATTGTAGAGTTGTCAACGCCCAAGAGAACAGCTGCATATATCGATACGACATATCGGTACCCCATCGCTACCAATCGATATCACAAACATACTTCGTTACGATATTCGCTCACTTGTTTACAATTTCGGTGTTTATAAAATGTAAAAGTTCAATTAAAGCAAAATGACACTGGCACACCGCGCGCTTTTCACATGGTTTATAGTTTTAGTGTTCCTTATACTGCTCTGCTTAAGACTAGATCCACGCACAACCTGGAATTGGTTTGTCACCTTCACACCACTCTGGTTCTTCGACTGCATTCTTATAATTTACGTACTCATCAAATTTATACGCAAATGGCGTAATTTGAATCGCCTTACTGACCTGCTCTCTCTCTACAAATGGAACATTGTGGGTGTGTGGCTGACGATAACTTCTCAGGTGATGATTTGCATTACCCTGGAGTATCCACAACAGATACCCATCTATGTGACCATGGCGCCTCTGATGTTGCTCCTCTGCACTGCCATCGTCTATGTGGGTGGAAAGCTGAGAAAGCGCGAAGGCTGGCTCCATTAAACAACAACTATTTATGTATTTATGTATATATTAAGTCTAATTGTAATTCATATTAAAAAGAAATGAAATCCAGAAATGCAAAGCGAGTTCATTAAAATCCGTATTTGCTTTGTGTGGCCCGACGTGTCTGCCTATTGGCCGACCACATGGCTTGCAGTTCAGCTTCGTTCGCCTTCGCCTTGTGTGCCAGGTATGTGATTTGATGTTTACGTCTTGTGCCCGCCACTGGCTCCTCGTCTGTCAGCACGCCCGTTGGCTGGTATGTGGTGGCCGAGGCCAGAGCTGTACGCATCCATTCCTCACGATCCGGCATCACTTGATCGCCGACTATGTCAATCACTTGCATTTCCTTCACCTCCTTACGTCGCCTCTTAGCATTCTTGCCCACGAGTGCGTCCATGGCCTCAGCATTCAATTGCTGATGGTAGCGTTTCTGCGCATGTTGCAACTGCTCCGATTCCACTTGCATCGCCTCCTCCTCAATTGCCTTGCGTTCTTCTACCTCCGTCAAATACTTGTCGCTAGCCTCTTTCATTTTGGCTGCTCGCTTGGCCACCAAGGCGCTAATCTCGTTGCTGCTCACCTCTGGCAGTTGCTCTTCGCTGTTCAGTGAGAAAAAGTCACCAGAATTGGCTACCTCCTCCTCATCCTCGCTGTCACTTACGCTCACCAGCGAGACAGCTGGCTTGGAAGACTTGGATGGCTTTCCAGACGGGGCTTTAAGTCCATCGACGCCTTCGGTATTGTGAGCAGCGCGTCTTTGTTTAACAGTATCTGGTACGAAAGCTGGCGAGGCACTAACTCTTGGAACATTTTTGCTCGGCTGTGGAGCAGGCTCGTCTTTACTTGCTGGCTTCGCTGCCACAGGCTCTGTTTTTCTGGCGAAATCCCGCTCAGATTTAGCTTGTGGTAAAATGCTCAGCAAGCCGCAACCTTTTGTAGACTTGAGTTGTGGTTGTTTGTTCTTCAGCTTCTCTGCCATTTCCTTGTCCACATCGGCATAATCTCTGAGAGATGGTATACTAATTTTAACGCGTTCCCTGGTCACAGCTGGCGGTGGTTTTTCCAATGCTTCGCTACCTGCAGGAATTGCCTTTTTGTGCAAGAACTCATCGTCCACTTCTTCGATAATGGCGGTTACCTTTGCTGCAGCCCTTGGCATGGGCAGCTTGGCAAAGGCCTGCGTCACTTGATCATCCACCTTTTCCTGCTGCGGATTTGGGTCAGCAGCTGCTTTTGGCTTAGGCAGGCTGAGATGTAACCGACCCGTAGTGTTCGCTTTCAACTCCTGTAAGGACACTTCTTGAGGTATATAGTCATCGTCGTCGTCATCACTAATATGTCCATTGCTCACAGTTGCCTTTACTTCTGGTGCTCCATTCTGTGTCGCAGCGCTTGGCTTTATTAGTTGTACTTGCATAGATGTAGAGTCCTCATCATTATCTGATTCCTCATCACTGCTTGCCGCGTATGCAACCAGAGACATAGTTTCTGATCCTTTTTAAAGTGAACCTTACAAAATTTGTTTGAATAAAATCCAAATTTCTTGATGTGCGTTGTGAATGTTTTCAATAAAACATATCAGCTGTTCGTGTACATGGAACACCCTGTGGCGAATAATAATCGCAGTGCAATAAAACGGTATGGCAATGCCAAAAATGCTTTTTTCTGTTAAGATTTAAAAATATCAGCTAGCGACTTTTTTCAAGCATAGATTTTATTGGTAAGAGTTATAATTGAACACCTGGCAACAGGTACAGGTACACTATATGATGACTGCAGCTGCTAGCCATAATCATAAAAATTTGAAAAGTCAGGTAGCTATAGCTGAAGCGTAACCATATATATAAGGTTTCTGAACTCACCAATGATCAGTATGAATTTACGTCTCGAACTGTTAAGGGATCAGAAAATGCATCATCATCCGCACCAGTTGCCACCCTATGAAGCAATGGGACTCTATGAGCAACCCAAGCCGCGCTTCATATTCAAAATGCCACGCGTTGTACCGAATCAAAAGTCCAAATACGAATCGGATGAGCTCTTCCGGCGACTGAGCCGAGAGAGCGAGGTGCGATACACAGGCTACCGGGGACGCGCCATAGACGAGCGTCGGATGCGTTTCGTCACTGACTGTCGCAAGGGCTACGCTGAGCTCTCGTTTGTCCCAACGGGCACCAATCTGCAGCTCTACTTCAATGCCAATCACAATCCCTACGCCCAGGAACAGGAGTGCGATTTCGACAAGGAACACGGAAAGGTGCACTTGCGCTCCAATTTCATTATGAATGGCGTTTGTGTGCGCTTCCGTGGCTGGTTGGATCTGGAGCGATTAGACGGCGTTGCCTGCCTGGATTTCGATGAAGGTCGCGCCCTACAGGAGGATGCCCAGCTGGCGGAACAGATCGAGAGCTACAATCAACGCATGGCTGACTCGAAACGTATGTATACACCGCCACAAGAGGCGATGCTACGTGGTCCTGGACCTGGTCCCGGTCCCGGTCCAGTTCCAGGAGCTCCAATGGGGTGGTGAAACTAGCTTGGACTTGATTTTATGAATTCTTTAGGTTTACTATAGCATTTACGTTTAAAGTCTTAGTTTATATTGATCGGAAATAAAATGTCATGAAAAAGAATTATTAAAGTGTTGTATCAAGACCAAATCCTCATCTGCATGAGAATCACAGAGTTCTATATACTTAGTTCAATTTAATCTGAACTCTTCTAACTTTTTTCTTTGAGTGTTTTTTGAGTTGCTTTGCAGCCCTGTTGCCATTGTTTCATAAGGGTTGTTACACGGGGTCTTTGGCCTTAATTACACCTCGCAACTTCCCAAGGGGGGAACCACCCCAAAAAAAAAAAACTCGTTCCAGCTGCGAGTTGACTCTGCTTCACACTTTCCCTCTCTTGTTCGTTCGCTCTCTCACACTCTCTCTCTTTTTCACTTATGAATAACAACCCAACAGCCCAACAGCCCACTCTTCCCTTTCTCTCTCTATCGCTCTCATTTTGATCTCGTTTGGCATTTGTGAGAGCGACAGAGAGGGCGAGAGCGGGAGCATATTGATTTTCTGGCACTCGGCCTTTTGGGATGCTGCTGATAGAAATTTTGCAACTGGTCGATTTTGTTTTTCAGTCTCAGTTTAAGTAGCAATTCGAACGCGTCTGTGCGTCCACACGAAGCAAACGAAAACTGCCTAGGGAAAGCGAGCAAAAATTGTTTATAGAAAATTATACATACCACACAAAGTGTTTTCGCCCAAACATTCAAATTTTGAATTTCATATAACTTTGGGTTTTGTTTTTGTGTGTTTCGCTGTGCTTTGTCCGTCGTGGTCGAGTAAGAAGCTGCGACGTGCGCTAAATTTAGCGACCGGTGTATTATAGGGTGATGTATGCTATATGAATTCGAGTCCCAGTATCATCTGGCCACGCCTCCACGCCGCCGCCAACAGCCAGCCGTCAGCCGCCGCCTCTTCTCGCTCTCGCACGAGAAGCGCGCCCCAAATTTGTGATTTCAAAATAGTATTCATACAAATTATGTGCTCAACCCAGCGAGCAATCCAATAACAACAACAACAACAAGATATTATAATAATTAGTAAATATTATAGACAGTTGGGCTTTTAGTGTCTGTGAGTGATTTAAAGTCAAGCACTATAAACAAAATGCCAGCCTCGAATACGATTGTGCTCAAGAGTTTGTCCATATTGCTGGGCCTGTTTTTCATATTTGTGGGCACGCTGAAGCTGACGCCGCATATTAGCAAGGATCTCTACAAGGATCTGGTAAGGATGAAAAATCAATATATACATATATAACTATATGTATACGCGGTTATATCACATTGTTTACCTTGAGTCGGCATTTCGGGAGCGGCAGCTCTTATCGATTTTTCATGCCGAGCTGAAACGGAATTTAACCACCAAAACATATCCTCGTTCATGTATAACGGGTTTCTTATATAACTGGGTCAGCTTTGTAGCAGTGGGCTGAGCGGAGAGTTTAAATAATAAATAAGTTGTCTAAGCAAATGAGTTTTGTTTGACTAAGAGATACGAGCTCTGGTACAGGATAGTATTAGGCGTTACTATGAGATATGCTTTAGCGTTTTTGTATGCTAATTTGAAATAGACAAACTGTAAGCTGTTATTATTATACAATTTTTGGGTTTACGTTAATAGCTGAATTTCCTAATCAAAATTGGGACTTCATTCTACTAACTAGATCTAGATCAGTATAAGTCATGATTTAGTACAGTGACAACATTCTTATAAATATAACAGATTATTTTTAATGATTTTTATTAAAAAATGTTGAAAAGTTTATTAAGTCAGCTGTAGCCATAATTTTAGCCAAAAATATAATTGAAATACTCAGGAAATATTACGGAAATTCTTTAAATGATGACAGACTAATAGAATCGTCTAGCTGCACCATTGAACTCGACCTCATCAATGCCAGGCGGCTGGCCTTCATGAAAACTTTTTTGAAAACGCAACGATCTTCAGGAATATTTAGATATATGTATATATAGAAATATATATGTAGCTATATCTCACAGAAATAAGTTTTTATCAGCCAAACACTTTGTAGTTGTGTTCATAATAGGTAGATGACGCCAAAACTGGACCACATTTTTAGCTATACTTATAAATATGTATGTCTTCTAACACTCTGGACACAAATGATGTATTTGAATACCCTATCTCCATTGAAAATGGGAATTTAGAGTATGACTCTGTTGCAGAAATGTATGTAACAGGCGGAAGAAGGTATGATATTTAATCGACGAGCTGAGTCCATATATGAATATATAACTATACTCCTCTATAGATATTAGACTAGATCATACTCCTTCAGATTAGCTGCATAGGTTCCGGTGTTCATTTTTGATGATTATATATGGATATATGTATGTATACAATAAACGGAAAGTCATTGTAATAGCAGCGCTGCTCAGGCTTCAGGGTATCTCTTAGTCGAGCACGACCCACTAGAGCAGTCTTACTTGTTTCACATGTAATCATGGAAATTAGCAAGCATCACAATGCGTAGGCGTTCGTTTTTGTTGTGTAAATAAATTTGCAGTTCACGTGCTTATATATATGTGTATGTATGTTTGTATATGTATTTGTATGTATATATGTATAGCTACATAAAATATAGAAACAATAAGCATTAATGTGATTTGCTCTTCTTTTGTTTACAAGTCTCTTAAAAAAGAAAACAAATTCTAGGTTTTATATTAGGGAATTTTTGAAAATATACAAAATTAAATATATACAAACACATATGTATGTACATAATTTGTATTGTATACTATATAAAGTAATTTGCTGTGGTATTTGGCTTACAGCACGTTTTGTATTTGATTTGTTGTTGTTATTCTTGTTGTTCTTTTGGTATGGTATTTGATTTGCAACGCTTTTCAATTTATAGCCCAAGCGCAGCTGTTGTTGTTATTGTTTTTGTTGTTGCAATGGTTTAGCCTTTTTAATTACACCTTCGTGTTGAGAGCCGCAAATGGCGAATGCCAAACAAAATAAAATGAAATAAATTCAAATAGAAATTGAAATTGCGAGTGTGTATGACAAACAACATTTGGGTTTGCAACTTACAACAAGAAATCGGCTAAACTGAATGAATGTGCCTGTGTATATGTGAGTGTATGTATGTATGTGCGTATGTGCGTATGTGCTTGTACTTGGCAAATGAGTTCTGGCTAAGTGAGCTCGTCATTTAATAGCAAGTGCCAAAGTGAGGATTGATGTTCGAACTATTTGCGTAAGCAGAATATATGATAAATGAATAAAGTGTATATCCAGGATATATAGTAGATACAGTAAGCTGAGCAAATTAGTGCTGGCCAAGTGGGAGATATAAAAGAACTTGAATATATTAGTATTAAGATCTGAATCTCTCAGCCTACCCTCGCCTTGCAAATCTAATTTAATTTTCGTTTTCCATTTCACTTACCCATGCAGCGCACAGAATACGTGAAATATGCCAAGGTATTTCCGTTGACGGCTATGTTTGGCATTAAGATACCCTCGAAATGGTATCGACGCACCGTTGGCATCTTGGAGATTGTGTGCGGCCTGGCCATGGCACTAATACCCTATCGTAAGTAGAGGAAATAGTACGCCTTACCAATATGAAACATTTGAAACATTTCGACCTATCTCATCCGCAGACAAGATCAAGAATGTGGCGAATGTGCTGCTGCTGCTGCTCATGCTGCTGGGCATCTACCAGCATTGGATGGTCAGTGATCCCTTCGAGCGTTCCGGACCGGCGCTGGTGTTCACATTCATGTTGGGCGGCCGATTGGTCGTCTGGTATCAGACCAGTCGCAAGGAGGCCGCTGACCTGTCGGCCGTCAATGCTCCGCAAGCGAATGGGCTCAAGCAGGAGTAGATAATGCCACGGATAACTAGATTTTTGATCGTATATATAGTCGGAATCATTAATTCAACTCATAGACGCACTTGTAAACAGCTTTCTTTTAGCACAATTAGTTGAAATTTTTCGAGCTCAATTGGCGACCTTAATACATAACATATAATACAAGCTATTAACGAAACAACTCTCATTTATAGTTATAAATTAAATCAAATTTTTTATATAGAATAAAACAAAATTGAAACGATTCTTTTTCACTTTGGTGCCAAAGAATACACAGAAATACATACTCGTATATATATAAATAATATACATAAACAAATTGCGAAAAGTGTTCAAGTTATAAATATTAATAAACGAGTTATAGTATAGCTATAAAAAGACAAAGACCAGAATCCCTTTGCAATACGGCACTCATGTTGTAGTTGTCGCGGCCATCAACATTTTAGCAACAATTTTAATAAATTTTTGAATAACTCATATTCATACATATACATATACATATATATAATGCTGTTTTAAACTATTATTCAACATCAGTCGTCGTGTTATAGTTTTTCTTTCTATTTTACGTCCAATAAGCATGGCCAGCAAATTCTTCAGAGATTATTAATTATGTGGTTTCAACGGTGCACGTGCTCCAAGCTTTAACTGTGTGGATGTGTGTGTTTGTGTGTGGGGTTAGTGTATTTTTAGGGTATCTTATTCAGCGCCAGTGGTGAGCAGCTTCAATGCCTTCTGCAGATTCTCAATTGCTGTCTTCACATCATCATAATTGAGGGCGCTGCCTGCGTACTTGCAATACTTCTGGGCGGTAATCATTTGATCGGGAGTTATATGAACTGGCACAGCCGGCTGGAAAATTGCGGCATTCGGTTGAGCGGGAGGCACGTATGGCTCAAAGCCACCTGGTTTCTCCTCCTCCACTGGCGGACTGGGCAATTTGTTCGGATTATTTAAAACCTCCTCGACTGTGGGAGGTGTTGTTTGTGGAGCTGGCGAGGAGGGCTCGACGTTGTCCGATTGCGCGTCAGTAGATGGCTCTTCGGGAGCTGTCACATTGGTACCGGCTTCATCCTTGACACCAGCCGGACTTTCGCCATTTAGCTCTGCAGACTCGTCATCTGGAAAGGGTCCGGGTATGGGAGTCTCGCCGTTCTTCAGACAGTTGTGAATGTATGCAGCCTTGTACTTGGCGTATTTACGATTGTGAAGCGCCTCCTCGCTGAGC